GCTTCCAAAGGACAAATAATTGGAACCAAGGCATTAGCTGACAGTATCCTGTGAACATGTTGTTCTTTCACCTCATTTGGATGTGATATTTATTTAATATTAATGAACAAATCGATATCTTCTACATAATTACAAAAGAAAAAAATCCGATACCCGCGCATTGCAATGCGCGTAAGGGCTGTTTGGAGATGCCGATTGTGACATTGCGATTCATAAGGCTATAGAGTAAATCAATCACGTGAGCTTAATCTGATCTCCTTTCAAAATTTCATTTTGTTTAGTTGCGTCCATTATTTTTTCGTTTAGGGCACATACTTGTTTTTACTTGGCCGCTTTTCTTGGAATGGCACGAATGTGTTCCTAAATTCAAATTTTACCATTTTCATGTTTAAATGATTATTTTTGCTTAACCGGTGCTAGGGGGCGTGGACGGCAACTTGCACTTACCACTTAATCTAATAGAGTCTGCAACATTTTCAATTTTGCCGTTTTGGGCGTTCAACTTGGGATTCTGTTTTTGTCTATGCCTACGGTGTAAGCCTTTATGTCAGTGAAACAAAAAGCAATGCCGTAAAGGTCGTCATACATCAAATGCACAAGCAATACTGTATAGGTCGAAATCCCATTTCCTTATATTCTAACCCATAGCTAGCTACGGTAAAAGACTACAAGATGTATACCGTATGCCTAATAAATTTCAATCAGCACATGGAACAAATACACTTTAATTCACGTTGAAGAACCAATGTTATTAATTTTGATTATTCAAAAAAGGAAACTTAAACTACGATTCGATATATATTTGATACAGGAATGCAATAAATGAACAAATGCAGCCGTTTTAACGGCTTAAATTTAAATTATTAGAAAATGAATAGTAGTTTTCATATTTTGGCGGCCATACGGCCCAACGCCATGGTTCGCCACCATGTATACGGAGGTACCCTATCTCATATACAAGCTATGCACTAAACATAGTTAATTCGGCACATGGTGATGATCCTATGAAGCACAAATGTAGCATTTTTGTATTTGTATTTGAAGAAAAGGCAAAATTCAAAGCATCTTGGTCAGAAAAGTTTTAAACATACGTAAATTATTGTGAAAATTCGCATGAACCATTTTCTATGTCAAATCATTTCAACGATTTTGTACAACTGTAGCAGTAAAATTAGTTGAAAAAAAATTGTACTGTATAAATATGTCTTGTGGTATTATTAAACAATTCTTCTCGAAAACTATGTGAGAAAAGTGTGAACTGTAAGAACACTGCAATTTGAATGCATGTTATGATACAGTTCCTGTATGCGATATTTGCCATATTTTTAAAAGTTGGTGTAAATGTTTCTTTTTAGCTTATATGTCTATTTAAGAATATTTATGTATCTGACCATTTGAAACTCGCCGGATAAACCCCTTAAATATTACCCGGGATAAAAAAGTTGCTTGTGAAATGTAGAGGCCGTGAAAAGTAAATACAATCAAGAGGTTAAATGTTTCCGATCCTTGAACATTTACTGTTGTTGCATGGTTGCATCTGTGGTATTTTTAGTTCTTTCTATTAGGCTTCTTTCACAAGGGTGGTTCCAATAGCTATTAAGGTTCTGTTTTTCTTTTCTATCATATCTAATCTAATAAACAAAAAATAAGTGTATTATGATTTGTTTCTAACTCGTTTCACTTGTAGGCAAATAAATTCACCTGGGATCTCCGTATGCTCACTTTTGGCCAAAAAGGGCGCCAATTTAGTAGTAAAACTGGGGATAACGGAATCTTAAAAGAACCCCCAAAATGGACCCATCGACTCTGGGGTTTCCTTACCGATGCAGACGGAAAGTAAAAGTGAATTGGACCGTGATAAAAAGTATGCAATACCATGAATAATCATGTTGGTAGTATTGAGTATCATACGTGACAATAAACTAAAAACAATTGTGTGAGATGCTGATCGGATATTGCATATTTATATAGAGCAGAGTTCTAGAACAAAATAGTATTTTCATAATATAAATTTTCATACTAAATCACTTAGTACTTGATCAACATTTTTGTTCAAGAAATAGTTGGTTAGAATATATATATATATAAGTGATTAACTTCTACTTTTTATATCCATATTTAAATTACACAATAACTTACTGAAAACGTGATTTTTGTAGATCTATCTTTTTTAATATCCGGTACAATGAGAAATTAAATTCCCTTCCTTGTGAACATTGACGCATTCGCCAGGTATGTTACCATCCTAAATTTAATTTATTAGAATACAGATTGTTGAACTGTCTAACAAGTTATCAAGTACTGCTTTAATTGGGAAGGATAAAGAATAAAACAACAAGAAATATCGAAAAATAATTCATTGAATTTCTCAAGATTTACAAAAATATATATTTCAACTGGGACTAAAAAACTTGAACTGTGTATCTTTCTGTCCCAGATTTCAATCAGCACATGGAACAAATACACGTTGAAGTCACTTCTTTTAATCTGTGTAATACATTTTGATTATTCAAAAAAAGATACTTAAACTACGATTCCATATACATGTACATATATACTGGTACAAATGTGTGATACAGGAATGCAATAAAAGAACAAATGCTGCTCTTTTAACAGCTATAAATTAAGTAATATTTTCATATTTTGGTAGCCAAATGGTTCGACGCCATCTTGGATTTCTCTGTTAACCACCATTTATGCCAATTTAGCCGGCAGTCTTAAAGCCAACGTACATTTAGGTAAATGAAATGCCTTGTTAAAAATAGGTCCGGGTAGCAACTAAAAATAAGTTGTTAGTTTTTTTTTTAATAATTTCATTCTACCAATAATGTACTTATGTTCAGTGTACATCTAATTACATTTATTTTAATACACAATGAATGTTTTAAAAGCAGGCTACCAAACTCGTTTTTTATACATTGTATGTATCAATAACAAAAGCACAAATATTGATACATGAATATTATAGAAACATAAAAATAACACATTATGAATAATAATAACTAGAGGATGCTTTTGTAAAAAAGCGCATGTCTCCCCCACTGCTGAGAATAACTGTGAATGGAAACAGGAATGGAAATGGAGATAAGATAATGTAAATACCCGGTAGTCACTTCAATGAAGGCTGTCTATGGATGGTTTCTATTGTTAAGGTTGTATGAGAAGATGCTTCCTAAACTGTTTGTTTTTAACCAGGTATTCAATTTTGAAAATCCTGGTTATTCAATCAGCGTATGGCAGGCGGGCGTCAAACGAAATTGCACTTGATGGTCATATCATATATAGTTTCACAAATGAAATTAAATGAAATTGTGTCTGCTCCATAATTCTTCAAACCTTTAAAGGATTTTGATGATACTTGAAACAAACGTTCATATTGTCAGATTTTTTTACACTATTGAAAGACAACTCAAACTACAATGTATGTAAAATCATGATAACTGTAGTGTGTTGGGATGACTCCACTCATTTTCACAATGAAGCCTCTCTGGTAGATACTTGAAACAAAAATTCACCACATCCAGAGAACGTGTAGAGTACATGTTTCGTATGGCTGGTTCCAAGGTCAAGGTCTACTTGACACTTGAATGTCATATCATATATAGTTTCACAAACTAAATTAAAGGAAATTGTGTCTGCTCCATAACTCTTCAACCCTTTGAAGGATTTTGATGATACTTGAAAGTTGTAACGCAATACCAATAAATATGTACATAATCTGAATGGTGCCATGCATGTATGTATACTATTAGTAATAGTTAACAAGAATAGAAAGTGATATACTATATACATACATATTGCATGAAAACTCACTCGCTAGTAGGAATTTGTAGTTATCATCAGCAAACAAAACAATGCGTGTAATACACCTTGCTGTGACCATGTAGCATTGAACGCGCAGCGGGGAAGAAATGACCGCTTAAGGTGGAAAGATCAAAAAAGAACAGAGTATATAAAACCAGACAACTGATATATCACTGATATATCAATAATAGTTAAATGTCCTCACTGATAAGAACTCTAGTTATCATCCGGAAATGAGAGAAAATGACCAATGGTCACTGTGACCTTAACCTTTGACCTACTGACCCATAAATAAGAGGGATCATCTGCTCAATAAGACCAATCATCCTATGAAGTTTGAGGGTTGTAGGTCTAAAGGAACTCTAGTTATCATCCGGAAAGGAGAAATTAACCAACGGTCGCTGTGACCTTGACCTTTGACCTACTGACCAATAAAACAATAGGGATCATTTGATTAATAAGACCAATCATCCTATGAAGTTTTGAGGGTTGTAGGTCAAAAGGAACTCTAGTTATCATCCGGAAATGAGAAATTGACCAACGGTCACTGTGACCTTGACCTTTGACCTACTGACCCCAAAACAATAGGGATCATCTGCTCTATAAGACCAATCATCCTATGAAGTTTGAGGGCTGTAGGTCAAAAGGAACTCTAGTTATCATCCGGAAACGAGAAATTGACCAACGGTCACTGTGACCTTGACCTTTGAACTACTGACCCCAAAAACAATAGGGATCATCTGCTCAATAAGACCAATCATCCTATGAAGTTTGAGGTCTGTAGTCTAAAGGAACTCTAGTTATCATCCGGAAACGAGAAATTGACCAACGGTCAGTGTGACCTTGACCTTTGACCTACTGACCCCAAAAACAATAGGGATCATCAGCTCTATAAGACCAATCATCCTATGAAGTTTGAGGGCTGTAGGTCAAAAGAACTCTAGTTATCATCCGGAAACGAGAAATTGACCAACGGTCACTGTGACCTTGACCTTTGAACTACTGACCCCAAAAACAATAGGATCATCTGCTCAATAAGACCATTCATCCTATGAAGTTTGAGAGCTGTAGGTCAAAAGGAACTCTAGTTATCGTCCGGAAACGAAGAATGGACGGACGGACTGACGGACGGACGGACTGACGGACGGACCGGGCAAAAACAATATGTCTCCCCCCGAGGTGGGGGAGACATAATAATAATAGAATAACTGTATTGCACCTTCCCCTGTAAAAAATAAAACATCATAAATATTATTACTTATATGATGCATGGTCCTATATTTTGCCATTCTTACAAGTCTTCAATCCTTATATACAAACTATAGCAACAACTGCTGAAGTCATATTAAAAACATAATGAATAGTTCTATTCTATTTTTCATCCACTTTGTAAAGTTCTATTTTTGCAGCAATCTTGAATCTTCTATTTTCCCAAAAATATTGCTTTTTCTTCTTTGTTTTCATCTTAAAATGTCCTATTTTCCTGTAATATTATATTGTCCTTTTCTGTCATTCAATATTGTCCTATTTTCCCAATAATATTGCTTTTTCCTCTTTGTTTTCATCTTAAAATGTCCTATTTTCCTGAAATATTACATTGTCCTATTCTATAATTCAATATTATCCTATTTTTCAGTAATATTGCTTTGTCCTTTGCTGAAAATTTTTCAATGTCCTATTTTCCTGTAATGTTACATTGTCTTATTCTATCATCTTATTTTGTCCTATTTTTCTATATAATTTGCTTTGTCCTTTTTGCTACCATCTTATTCAGTTATGTTGATATAATGTTTTTATCCTCTTTATGTCATATAATATTGTCCTATTTTCCTGTTATCACATGTCTTTCTTTCTTTTACTCACCTATGAAAACATTTTCCAGTCATGGCCTATGTTGAACTAGAGAATGGCATTAATGCATCTGCACCAAACAACTTCTCAAAATGTTTAACATAAAGTTCACAGTGCTCTCCTGTAGTAAATTAGAAAAAAAAGAAAATTAAACTTGTACATGAAAACCATTCCTGAATTAAGACAATGATATACAGAACATTTGAAATGACAGGCTGTCAATTTTAACCATTCTGCTGAAACCAAAAGTGATAAGCGATGGCTCTGAGTATTAGAGCCTGACCAGCCTGTATATTGGACTAGGATTTATAATATTAGTAAATATATCTCAATTTCAGTATTTTGATATTGTACTTATGCCTCTCAAGTTTGTACTTGAACAAATGTCTAAATTCTTCAACCTCTTAGGTTTAACTTTCGAGATGTCTTCATTCTTCATAAAAAATGAATAAATCTTAAACCTCCCCAGTTGTACATGAGAGATTTTTAAATTCTTAAGCTTGAGAGATGTTCAAGTTCTAAACACTTTGGTATGTACTTGAAGGATGTATAAATTCTTGAGAAGGGTATGAAGTTAAAAAGATGTATAAATTCTTAAACTGAAAAGGTGTTAAGTTCTTAAACGTTACAGAATGTACATGATAGATATAATAATTCTTTAAATTGAGAGATGTATAAATTCTTTAACTTGAGAGGTGTTAAGTTCTTAGTGTTTCGGTATGTACTTGAAGGATGTATAAATTCTTTAACTTGAGAGGTGTTAAGTTCTTAGTGTTTCGGTATGTACTTGAAGGATGTATAAATTCTTTAACTTGAGAGGTGTTAAGTTCTTAGCATTTCGGTTTGTACTTGAAGGATGTATAAATTCTTTAACTTGAGAGGTGTTAAGTTCTTAGCGTTTCGGTATGTACTTGAAGGATGTATAAATTCTTTAACTTGAGAGGTGTTAAGTTCTTAGCGTTTCGGTATGTACTTGAAGGATGTATAAATTCTTTAACTTGAGAGGTGTTAAGTTCTTAGCGTTTCGGTATGTACTTGAAGGATGTATAAATTCTTAAATATGAGAGGTGTTTAATATCTTAAACCTTTCAGTATGTACATGAGAGATGTATAAATTATCAAACTTGAAAGAAGTATAAATTCTTTAAACTTGAAAGATGTACATAAACTAAAGAGATGTATGAATTCTCTACAAATCTTAGCATGTACTTGAGAGATGTATCAATTACCTGGTTGAAATACTGGACTGCTTCTCATTCGAATGTTTCTTTGTTGAAAGAATTTGAAGACTGTGTAAAATAGCTGATTGTCCTCTGTGTTCATGGCAGCTTCTAGAAATTTTCTAGATGAAACTGTGTCAGTGATACCTGCCTTTCTTATAAACCTGCAGACAAAAAAAAACAAGAGCCGGTTGAACTGGGTGATGCTCCCCGAATAGGTTTTGGACACAGAAAAGTATGTTTTCTGTAGTTTCAGAGTTATGCCCCGGACAAAATTCAAACAGAGTTACTGTTCTTTACACTGCACTTCTACTCAATGAGGTCTATCTACCTACAAAGTTATTGTTGATACCTCTTAGGATTATAGAGTTATGTCCCACACAAAGTTTAAAGTGTAAAAATGAACAAAGGGCATTTACTCCAACTTAGGCAAAGCAGAGTTATGGATCTTTTGCACTGCACTTCTACCCAATGAGATCTATCTACCTAAAAAGGTTCATGTTGATATCAGTAATGTCAAGGTCATACTCAATGAGATCTATCTACTTACAAAGTTTAATGTTGATATCTCATAGTTTTAGAGTGATGTCCCAGACAAAGTTCAAAGTGTCAAAAATCAACAAAAATAACTTTCAAAATTAGGCAAGGCAGAGTTACTGTTTTTGTGCATTGCACATCTACCTAATGAGATCTATCTACCTACAAAGTTTCATGTTGATATCTCTTATAGTTTTTGAGTAATGTCCTGGACAAGAAAAGCAGATGGACAGACAGACAAAGCAGCAACTTAATGCTCACCCTTCGTGAAAAATAAAAACAAAAGAAAACCTGAAAGGAATACTTTTGAATGAGTTGATCTTTCTGCCCAAAAACTCATGTGCATCTCTGAAGTGAAGAGACACTTTATCCACTTGTACAACAGAAATGGCAGAGTACTCCAAATTATTTGTAATAAGTATATCCTTATCAATTTTAAAACACACCAAAGAAAGGATAAACAATTTAAATGCAACAAACTCTCATTTCACAATCACTTACCAAAACAACAACTTTGTGGTGTATAATACTGAAAAGCATCAGCCCATGACAAAGATCATGTATCAGGATGAACATCTATTTTCAAAGATTTCTTCGCAGTATTTGCTTGAAGGTTAAACATTTCATATAAACTTAAAGGCCATATAGTTACCTAAAAATGCTAGCCTTTTTAATTTTTCAAAATCTTTTTTACTTTTGGTATCCAATTAAAGTTTCCAAAAAAACACTCATCAACCACATTTCTAAACTATCTTTCACTTCTTTCGCATTTTGACAATAAGTAAAGTTATGTATTTTATATGGAAGTCAAAATAACAGTTTTGTTCTTTCTCATAAATTATTTTAAATTGAGGCAATTTTGTCAGATGTTAAGCATTCCACATGTTCTAAATCTATTATTTAACATTACAAGGGAGCCATTGGCGCCAAAGTGTTCAACAGTCAACAGAATGGTGTAACATTCTCTATACTTATGAGTTGACCACGGTTATAATGGTCAAGGCAACTGTGATCTTGACCTTTGACCTAATGACCTCAAAATCAATAGGTGTAATCTACAAGTCATGACAAACCTCAATATCAAATCTAAGGACTGTACATGTACATAGTGTTTAACAAAAGATTTTCTGACTGTTTACTATGAACATAAAGGGAAAACACATCTCACCAGGGACAGGGTCAGGGTCAATGATGACCCCAGAGTAAAAAGAGCCATAATATCACCACTTGTAGGAATTCTACTAGTTTAAGGTGGGGATGATTCTGGAAATGCTGACACTACAACTGTAAACCTTGTCATATTATGATGTGGAAGTTGATATGAAACATTGATTTTAAGTTTGAAGTTTACCCCTTATGAAATCAAGAAGTTAAAAATATTGTCTTTTTAAAGAAATCCATCGAGGTCTAAAGCCTAAAATTATAAAATTTGAATTTCTTACAAATATCAGCATGACCATTTAAAACAAAAAGACATGCCAAAGAATGAAGATACTTAAACAGTTGAAAGTTGTATTTTGTGCTATATTTAGACATATTTGAGCAAAAAGCATTGCAACGCTTTCCAATTTTGGGTCATTTCCCACATTTAGAATAACTATTCTGAAAAACAAAGTGAGCGAATGATCTGAAATTTGCACATTAGTTGGTCTAGATCTATATCAAATGAAATATTTTTGTCAAAAACCTATTTTCAGTCCCATGCCATGTCAAATGAAACATTTTTGTCAAAAACCTATTTTCAGTCCCATGCCATGTCAAAAAACCTCAGTGGAGTCTCTATACAAAAAAGTCTAAGTTCAAGGGGAGATAATTCTATATTGCTTCTAGAATTATGAACCTTGTCACATATGATGTGGTTGATGATAATGGAACAAATATTCAAATAGCATACCTCACAGCTGGGAGAAGTTGGTGTTTAGATAACAAAACTTCTATAATCTCTTCATTGGCAGTAGCCAGTCTCTGTAAATATAAAATAAAATATAGGAATAAAATCACTTGATAGTAAAATATAAACCATTTAGAATTTTATTCTTATCCAAACAAACAAAATTCAAAACAAGAAACATGGCAATGCCAGGAAACCAGGTTTTTAATAACCCATTGTAGAAAGATCTGTTGTAGTTGAAATACAAATACATGTACAAGCAACAATCAATGTAATTATGTGCAATGTAAATTATAGATAATGAATTTTCTATTTTTAGTAACAGTAACCTTGACCCTTGGGGGCACAAAAGCCATTCCAAGTGAGGTCTTTATAAAAACTTGCTTTGCACCAAATTAAACTAGTTTTACTAAGATTTTTATCAAGATGAAATGATTGGTAATTCATTTTTAATAACTTTTTATGACGGAAGACGGACAAAACCCCAACAGTTAAAACCCCACCAATCAAAATTTTATAGAGTGGACAAAAGCCCACTACTAAATTTTACAGAGTGGACATTAAACCCCACCACTTCACATCCAAATCCCTAAAGAACAAAACATGATAATTATAGCATATAGCATTTATTTCAATAGCAATACTAGAACTGCCACTATCATGACGTGAATACCCCCGCATACCACTTTGTCAGAATCAACAGTGGCCATTTAGAGCTCAAGGACAACCTCCCTGCCAAATCTGAGGTTACTAAGCCAGTGCATTGCTAAGTTATGTATTCTACATGCTTCAAATGTGAAAATGTCAAAATCAATACATTGCGGACAGGACATTCTTTAGCAATTGAGAAGAAAAGCTTTTTTTTGTCAAGGTCCCTGTGACCTTGACCTTTGACCCAGTGACCTCAAAATCAATAGGGGTCACCTTATAGTCATGATCAACATCCATGCCAAATATGAAGACTGTGGGAATCTTAAGTTAATGGGTGGACAAACTTTTTGAAGTCAAAGTCCCTTTGACCTTGACCTTTGATCCAGTGACCTCAAAATCAAAAGGGGTCATTTACTAATCATGATCAACATCCATGCCAAATATGAAGACTGTGGGTCAAAGGAATCTAAAGTTATTGGGCAGACAAACTTTTTGATGTCCCTGTGACCTTGACCTTTGACCTGGTGACCTCAAAATCGATAGGGGTCATCTACTAATCATGACTAACCTCCATTCCAAATATGAAGACTGTGGGTCAAAGGAATCTTAAGTTATTGGGTGGACAAGCTTTTGGAAGTCAAGGCCCCTGTGACCTTGACCTTTGACCTGGTGACCTCAAAGTCAATAGGGGTCATCTACTAATCATGACTAACCTCCATGCCAAATATGAAGACTGTGGGTCAAAGGAATCTTAAGTTATTGGGCGGACAAGCTTTTTGAAGTCAAGGCCCCTGTGACCTTGACCTTTGACTTGGTGACCTCAAAATCAATAGGGGTCATCTACTAATCATGACTAACCTCCATGCCAAATATGAAGACTAAGGGTCAAAGGAATCTTAAGTTATTGGGCGGACAAGAAAAAACCGACGGACGGCCGGACAGCCGGACGGACGGCCGAAATGGAATAAAGGGCCATTTCTTTTGTTATTTTCTATTGTTTAATAGAGGGCCAATGGCCCCTTACTCTATTGTTACGGAATGAACTCTATTGTTCTCTTTTGTTCTGTTTACAGTTAGATGGCCCCTTATCCCTATTCGGTAGTGCGGCCGGACGGCCGGACGGACAAGCTGATTCCAGTATACCCCCCTTACAACTTTGTTGTGCGGGGGTATAATAAAAATATCTTATTCCAATCTCTAGTTATTGACCAGAAACATATTTTCTATTTTTAGTAAAAGTGACCCTAAACTTGACCTTAGCAGGCCCAAAAGCAAGATATTTACATAAGCTTGCTATACACTAAGTTTAATTGAAATATTTCATTCCTTACTCTAGTTATTGACTGGCAACAGATTTACTATTTTTAGCAACAATGACAAAACCCCGACAATATGCATCAGGGCAACAAACAAAATTACAATACATAACTTTTATCCAGGATTGAGTAGAAAGCATAAAGCTTATATGGAATTCTCTCCGGGCATATGATACAAAAACACTTGAGCAAAACATTTTAATACTCGAAAAGAAACAGTTTAATATATAATATAACGAAATGATTATCATCAAATAATAGAGATGTTCCAAAATTATCTGGACTTTGTAATGCCACAAACTACATGTCCTTATATATAATACAATAACAATGCAGAATTTTGTGTTTATAGGAAAACAAGGTCAGAGCATTCTATCAATGACACGAGACTTCTTAGTTTGGTTTCATGATCATCTTCCCTATTTGGTGGAAGCAAGTACTTTATAGTCGGTGGTGGAAGGTATAAGAGTTTAAGCAATCGGTGCTGGAGTAATCCAAAGTAGAACAATATAAAGGATTTAGACTGAACCAGACGGTGAGTATGAGCAAAGACAGGTTTTCAATTAGTCCAAGTTTGAGTGAACACAGCTTAACTGTATATTTGTATTAATACAAACACTATATAAGTTGTTAAGTTAGCAATGCAGAAATATTAGGAAATTTCGTGAATTGATGAAAATTGTTAAAATTTTCTCTAGCGTAAATATCAACCAACCTGTCATTAAATGCTACCCTGGCAGGATCTGGTAATATTTACTCAAATACACAAAATGTCTGGAATTTTAAATTCGCTATATTTTCGACACCCGAAAATCACAGGCAGTCGGTGCATGGCTTGGATAGTATACATGTACATGACAACGCCTACTTATTTTTATAAACAATTTTTTTTTTCACTTCAAATGTTTAAAAACATTTAATTTTCAATAAAACAACAAAGGGAAGTTGTTTTTTTAAATTTCATTCATATATACTATAAATATCAATACTATATTTATAGTATATATGGATAAAATTTTTAAAAACAACTTTCTTTTCTTGTTTCATTGAAAATAAAATGTTTTAAAAACATTTTGAGTGAAAAAAAAATTTTGTTTATAAAAATAAGTGGGCATGGTCATTTACATGTACATTTGTATACTATCCAAGCCACGCATTGACTGCCTGTGGGGAAAATAACCACTTCTACAGTAGATTAATACATATACAGTAGATCACAATGAACAAAAAGTCTTACTGTAAGCATGTCTAATGCAAGCTGGTGGGCAGGTGGGTAAACACTTTCCAATGACAGCATCAAACATGCCTACAACAAAAAGTTTAAATCAAAATGAAAAAAATATAATATTACAAGGGGTTATCCAAAAGTCTATGGACTTTCTTTGTTGCCTAAAATATATTTGAGATATTGATTTGAAATTCCTACACTACTTAGAAAAATAAATAACAAATAAACAGCGAAAAATTCAGGTTAGTAGCTTCTTATATAACAACAATATTTAATTTTACATAAACACATGTCGGCGACAGCAGCGCACTCCAAAATGTTATTGACATCAACATCATAATATTTAACGTACTACTTATGCTTCGACGTTACGCAGTCAATAACTATTACTGCTTCACCAAGTAATGTCCTTCACTAAATTTTTAATGCCACTTAAACACTAATGATTTTTATTTTCTCTGTTTGCCTGCTGTTTTTTTTCCCAAATGTTTTTGTTGGTGTCATTCCGAAATTACAACAAAATTTTATGATCACGCTATTTTCTAACTTCTGCGTGTCCTTCCCGTTGTAAACAATATTGTCGTCTGTCGTTTCTGGCGATTTCAACAAAAATTAACAGAAATGACGTCCATAATTTTAATGAATTCTTAAATGACATCATAGAAGAAATATGTGATGTTTAGCAGGTTTCCTATGTTAATTAGTAATTTTTTAGCAAAAAATATACGATGACTGACTGCACTTATCTACAGTGCACCAAGTGCCTTGTATGTGCTTATTTAAAAACAATATAAAACCATTATTTATTGACACATTTACCTGTTTCTTTCAAAACGTGTTGATAATATTTTACAATGTATGCTGATAAAATTTCATTATCATACATGTTGACGTTCAAAAGATATTTAAACAGTCCATGAATTTTTGGATAACCCCTCGTAGATGTAAAGATTTGTACTTTTTAGAGCTGTCATCAGTAGAAAAATTGTTGATAGGTTTTTGTTGATCAATATAAATACATATTTGAAAAAATCGATTAATTTTGACTGACTGATTAAAAAATGCCTAAAAATTATGAACATTCACCCAAAAACCTATACTGGTTGCAGAAGAGATAACTCTGACACTTAAACACACATTTTTTGCAATAGCTTAATCATCTCCCTGTATATATTAAGTAATGAACCAACTAAACAAATTTCAGTATAAAGACATAATATTACACTACAAAATTATGTATCAAAATAGAAACTGGTACTTCAATAAGTTCCTAAATGAGGCATGCAAAACACAGTCTTTTTACCCCACAACAGTAGATAAAGGCGACACTTAAATCTGGAAAATGACTGGAACATCAGCATCAATAATTTATTAATTTTTTACATCTTATATGTTTTATCTAGTTCTTGTGGATATTTGAACAATTTTTCAAACACCTTTCCCAGGTCAGTGGCCTGTGGTATATATAATTCTAACCTTATTGTAAATTTAGTAAGAGAACGTTTTGAAAAAATTTAGGTTACCTAAACAACATTAAAAAGTTTACCAACTTACAAAAAATCATCACATTCTGTCTGACTCCTATATTACTAGGTGACCATGTGCTTGTTTGTGGAAAGTTATGACAATTATATTTAACAAGAGTAAGGGTTATCTTTGTGTCCAATTTATCTCTCCGACCAGTACAAAACAAGAACCGGTTGAACCGGGTGATGCTCCCCGAGAAGGTTCTGGACACAGGAAAGTATAAAAAAAATGAACAAAGGGCAAAAACTCCAAAATTAGGCAAAGCGGAGTTATGTTTTTTTGCACTGCACTTCTATTCAATGAGATCTATCTATAAAGTTTCCTGATGATATCAGAATTATGTCCCAGGTAAAAGTCAAAGTGTAAAAATGAACAAAGGGCAATAACTCCAAAATTAGACCAGGCTTTGTTTAGGTTCTTTAAGCATTGCAATTCTATCCAATTATATCTAGCTACCTACAAAGTTTCATGTTGATATCTCTAATAGTTTTAAAGTATTGTCCAGGACAAAGTCAAAAAGTAAAAATAAACAAAGGGCAATTACTTCAAAATAAGGCAAGGCAGAGTTACGGTTCTTGTGCACTGCACTTCCACCCAATGAGACCTATCTATCTACAAAGTTTCATGTTGATATCTCTTATAATTTTAGAGTAATGTCCCAGACAAAGTCAAAGTGTCAAAATGAACAAAGGGCAATAACTCCAAAAGTAGACAAGGCAGAGTTACCGTTCTTGTGCACTGCACACCTACTCAATGAGATCTATCTACCTACAAAGTTTCATGTTGATACCTCTTATACTTTTAGAGTTATGTCCCGGACAAAGATCAAAGTGTAAAATAAACAAAGGGGGATAATTCAAAAATAAGACAAGGCAGAGTTACCGTTCTTGTGCACTGCACACCTACTCACTGAGATCTATCTACCTACAAAGTTTCATGTTGATACCTCTTATACTTTGAGAGTTATGTCCCGGACAAATTTCAAAGTGTAAAATAAACAAAGGGGGGTAATTCAAAAATTAGGCAAGGCAGAGTTACGGTTCTTGTGCACTGCACACCTACTCAATGAGATCTATCTACCTACAAAGTTTCATGTTGATACCTCTTATACTTTTAGAGTTATGTCCCGGACAAAGTTCAAAGTGTAAAATAAACAAAGGGGGATAATTCAAAAATTAGGCAAGGCAGAGTTATGGTTCTTGTGCACTGCACACCTACTCAATGAGATCTATCTACCTACAAAGTTTCATGTTGATACCTCTTATACTTTTAGAGTTATGTCCCGGACAAAGTTCAAAGTGTAAAAATAAACAAAGGGGAATAATTCAAAAATTAGGCAAGGCAGAGTTACGGTTCTTGTGCACTGCACACCTACTCAATGAGATCTATCTACCTACAAAGTTTCATGTTGATACCTCTTGTTGTTTCAAAGTTATGTCCCGGACAAGAAAAGGGGACGGACGGACGGACGGACGGACGGAAAGACGGACGGACGGATGGACGGACGGACGGACAAGGCGACGACTATAATTATGCTCCCCCGAAATTTTTTCGGGGAGCATAAACAGGTGTCTGCAGTCTTTATGCAATAGACATGTTGGTTTAAACATATTTATTTAAGCTTGATTGCGAAACAAGTTCTTGCAACTAATATTAATCACTTTCGAGTCCGCTTCCTGGAACCAACCAGTCCTGGTGTTGTATGAAGAAACATGGTCGTGACTAGAGTAGGGCTCGAACCCATGACCTCTGGGTTGAGAGGCAGACACCTTAACCACTAGGCCACCACTCCACTTAATGGACATGTTTCAAAGAAGTGATGAGAAAAAAGAGACACATGCCATTGGCATTTTTTTTAACACAGACACATCATAATTGTATGAACAAAATAATCTTTTTATTGAAATCATTTGAACAGATATGAAAGTGAATTATAGACAAGTAATTATAAGTAATTATTGATATATCAATGTATCGCCAATAAATGTCATCCCATATCAATATATCATCAATATCATATGCTTTTGCACCGAATCAATGACAGCTCTAATAATTTTATATGACACATTTACATAGCTAAATATAGAACAAAAAATGTCAAAAAGACACAAATGCCACCTCCCTCTTACCTTTTATGGGTAGTAAGAATAAGTAACCATTATGAAAGTCACAGAGAAACTGAATATGTAATGGTTTAAGGAAATAAGTACATAATTACCATTTAAACAAGAACCAGTTGAACCGGGTGATGCTCCCCGAGAAGGTTCTGGACACAGGAAAGTATAAACAAGAGGGCCATGATGGCCCAAAGTCGCTCACCTGTATATAGGCCCCCCGGAGCAGGGCCAGTTTAAACCCCAGGGCTTTTATTTGAACAAACTTGGTTGACACCCATTAGAAGATGTTTCATGCTAAACATCTAAGGTCTAGCTTATTGGGTTTCTAAAAGAAGATTTTTTATGTCTATATATATATATATATATATATATATATATATATATATATATATATATATATATATATATATATATATATATATGTGTGTGTGTGTGTGTGTGTGTGTGTGTGTGTATGTGTATATATATATATATATATATATATATATATATATATATATATATATATATATATATACAAACACATTCCTCCATTTACGGGGCATCGGTCTATTTGAGACCATACTTGTGGGGTGTATATTTAATGTGGGGCATACATAAGGCCTCGCAACTCTGGCATGTTTAAAACGATGTATGGGGGCGTAGGCTACCCTTCTAACATAGTGCCCGTAGGCCGGTTTTAGTAGTAAATGATATATGTCCCACAAATGTATATATTTATTATGGGGTTTTATGTTATTAGTCAATATGTTTTCACCTATGGTAAAATTAAATATATAGTTGATATATATAACTTAGTACCCCTTAGTTCTGTTGTATGGAAATGTTCATTTTATGCCTACATAGTGGCGTATATAAAAACTGACTGCATGAAATAATGCCACTCAACTCGGTCTTATATATGGGCCCCGTAAGTGAAGATATGTGTGAATATATATATATATATACATATTTATATATATATATATATATTATATATATATATATATATATATATATATATATATATATATATAATATATATATACATACACAATATTGGTTCCTTACATATATATATATACATACATATATATATATAAGATATATATATATATATAATATATATATATATAAATATGTATATATATATATATATATATATATAATATGTATATATATATATGTATGTATATATATAATATGTATATATCTAAAAAAAAAGTCGAGCTAATGAATGACCCCCGGGGCGGGGCCAATTTTGACCCCAGGGCTCTTATTTGAACGAACATGGGTAGACATCCATTAGAACATGTTTTCATGCTAAATATCTTAGCTCTAGCTCTTTGGGTTCTTTCAAAGAAAATTTTTTTAGTTTTACTATATGCATATAGGGAAAATCAATGACCCCCTGGGGCGGGGCCAATTTTGACCCCAGGGCTTTTATTTGAACAAACTTGGTAGACACCCATTAGAAGATGTTTTATGCTAAATATCTTAGCTCTAGCTCTTTGGGTTCTTTAAAAGAAGATTTTTTT